AGTAAAATATTGAGCCTACTCTCCATGAATGCTAGACTGTACCTCGCTTTTCTATGGACTGAGCCCTATCCAGAAATGAAGTCACCCAAAATAACTGCAACTTGGGTGGCTTCTTCTCCATTTAAGTGATTAGGTATTTACCCTTGACCCTTAAGAAAAGAGTTTTGCCTTCATCTGGGCCTTGGCCTTGGCCCTTGTCCATGTACTAGGCTCCTGAGCCAAAGACGACAGCCCTCCCTTCAGTCATGTTCATGAACTCACAGCTGAGGGATGCACATTCCTCCCACACCCTCTACACTGACTCAGTTCTAAGAAGCTAGATTTATAGGAATTTGTTAGAAACTGTACGTTCATGTAGCTTTTTATTGTGGTATTATCATCTTATTTTCATCCAACTTTTGCATCCAGTGGTGATATATGAAATATGTAACAATCAGTTTTGTATGAGTATGTGACCTACCAGACTTGGAGTCTGACCAATCAGAATGGATGCTTAAATCATCAAATCAGAACGGGTGCCTTACCAATTCAAATTAAAAGCCGTCCAACTAGAATGGACACTTGGCCCATCAGAACAAATGCAGTGTGTTCCAGGTGGATATCTGCTTCACGCTTATCACTGACCTTTTCATCTGTCAGCTCTCCCCTCCATTAACTGGGAGCAAACTGAGGGCAGGGACCACATGATGCATATCTTTGTATCTTCCCAGTGGCCTTCCTGAGTGGGTTTCATAATGTGAGTTTAATGAATATTTGTTGGCGTGGACATTATCCACTTAGTGATTGCTTAGGAAATATCAGTGGGTGGAAAGAGTACAGTTTGCCCTTCTCTGCTGAGGATAATTATAGAATTAGACCACTAGAATATCACTAAAATAGCATGTTTTTGGATGACACACAGCTGATAAGACAAATGGGTGTTTTTAAGGGCTTATCATTCAATATGATCTTGATGAGCTAGACACATAATATATAATCACACTGGTTTCTTAAACACAGCAGTGAATAGGGTACTTAGAGGAAGAATAACATAAATACCAGGTAGACTATCAATGGAAAGGTACTGGTAAGGCCCAATACACCTAAATCTTATAGCAAATAACACATGAAATTGTCCCAGACATTTTTAAATTAGCTAGGCTTCTGGCATGACAGTCATAGGTGCTCATTCATCCATTCGACAAGTTAACTGAATACCTACTATGTGTAAAGGTTTCATGCTAGGCATGCTGGGAATATAGCAAGAACTTAGCAATGTCTCTTTCCTAAAACAGCTCAAGTTCCAAGGGAGAAGACAAAGAAGTACACAAACCATTCGGTAACAGTGAGAGAACGTATTCAACAGCTGAGTCATCAGCCAGTGAAGATAGTCACCATGAAGGACATCTTTGTAGCCCACCGGGACAGCTGTGCTCCACAGCTGGCTGAGGGCCAGGATCCATCAACACTGATGGCTGCACACGGACGGCCAGAGGCTGCTTTGTCCACAGTGTTTCGGGACCATGTTAGCTTCTGGGTTCTTGTAGGGTACAATTAAGGGGGAAAAACAGTCCCAGTAACCACCAATACTGGTTTGGCTAACGCTTGACAAGTAGGGGCTTCACTCACATTTAGTGTCCTTTAAGCAGTTAAGACGGTTGACATTTCTTGCACTCACATGTCTTAGAGAAACTGACACCAGTCTAAAAATCCTTAACTTATTTTGAACATTTGCATAGAGAACATAAACTCTCAGGAGGATGTTTGTAGGTTCTTGGGAGGGGGAGGTCTTTGACCCCCAAGAAGAATAATCTACAGTAGGAGGTGAACAATGCTGTGGGAGTTGTGCAAGGTGACGCTCTGGCTTGCTAAGAGAGCCAGACTGAGGACAGAGTAATCACAGAGGAGGGCAGGCATGAGGAATAAAGGAAATGGATAAAGCTCAGCTCAAAACCATCCTCACCAGAAAGGAGCAAATTCTGGGGCTGGCGCTGTAGCTCAGCAAGTTAAAGCCCCCGCCTGCAGTGCTAGCCTCCAGCTGCTCCACTGCCAATCCAGCTCCCTGCTGATGCATCTGGGGAAGCAGCAGAAGACGGTCCAAGTGCTTGGGCCCCTGCACCCACGTGAGAGACCCAGAAGAAGCTCCTGGCTCCTGGCTTCTAATAGGCCCAGCTCTGGCCATTGTGGCCATTTAGGGAGTGAACCAGCAGATGGAAGACCTCTCTCTCTGTCTCTACCTACCTCTCTCTGTAACTCTTTCAAATAATTTTTAAAATGGAAATATTAAAATTAAAAAAAAGAAAGTAGTAAGTTCTGGGGCTGGCGTTATGGCATAGCAGGTTACGCCTCTAACTGCGATACTGGCATCCCATATGGTCATCCTGATCAAGAGCTGGCTGCTCCACTTCCAATCCAGCTCCCTGATAATGCACTTGGGAAAGCAGTGAAAGATGGCCCTAGTACTTAAGCCCCTGCATCCATGTGGGAGACCCGGAAGAAGCTCCAGGCTCCAGCCCCAGCCATTGTGGCCATTCGGGGAGTAAACCAGTGGACAGAAGATGGATCTCTCTCTCCCTGGCTCTCCTCCTCTCTGTAACTCTGCCTTTCAAGCAAATAAAAAATAAAATTTTTCTTTAAAGTAGCAAGTTCAGCCGGCGCCGTGGCTCAATAGGCTAATCCTCCACCTTGCGGCGCCGGCACACCGGGTTCTAGTCCCGGTTGGGGCGCCGGATTCTGTCCCGGTTGCCCCTCTTCCAGGCCAGCTCTCTGCTATGGCCAGGGAGTGCAGTGGAGGATGGCCCAGGTGCTTGGGCCCTGCACCCCATGGGAGACCAGGAAAAGCACCTGGCTCCTGGCTCCTGCCAGGATCAGCGCGGTGCGCCGGCTGCAGCGGCGGCCATTGGAGGGTGAACCAGCGGCAAAGGAAGACCTTTCTCTCTCTGTCTCTCTCTCACTGTCCACTCTGCCTGTCAAAAATAAAAAAAAAAAAAATAAAGTAGCAAGTTCACAGGGGAGAACCCAGATGGACACAGCTCTGTGGATGCAGGACTGGAGTCCCACGATGCACAGCCACCAGGGGGGAGGAGCAGCTTCCACAAAGCAGGAGGAAAGTGTGATAGTGACAAAATCGACAGAGGGTCAAATCCTTGGATATCTACCCTTGGGTAGTCAGGCTGTCATGTAAACGTGAGCTCTGTGGAAGACTTTAGAATCCCGTGGAAGGTGCTGCTCTGCCCAGTGCCTTGCAGAGCTGTAGCTATTCCAGGGTGGGCTGGGCAGGTGGCATGCATTATTGGTGTGCTTATCTCAGAACACTGCAACATGGGTTTTTAGGAAAGGGCCATTGATACCACTTGGACAAAGAGGGGACTATGGCAGCCAGCAGCCTATTACCTGTGGTACCCTCAGCTCTACAAATGTGCTGTGTCCAGTCCTTTGAGCACAATGCCTTGAATTGGTGGTACTCGATTACTACTACCAAAATCTCAGCTCCTGATGCCATACTGCTACACAAAATAGGAAAATGATTCAAAAAGGGAAATTTGATTCTTCTTGGTTGGTATGTTCAAGTGGTTCAATAGTGGAAGCCAAACTTAGCAGTAAGAAAGTCCCAATATTGGGGTGGGCATTGTAGCATAGCTGGTTAAGTTCCCACTTGGGACGCCTGCAGCCTCTATCAAAGTGTCTGGGATCAAATCGTGTCTCCAGCTTCCTGCTAATGCACCTGGGAGACAGCAGATGATGGCTCAAGTGCTTGGGTCCCTGCCATTCACGTGGGTGACCCAGCTGGAGTTCCTGGCTCCAGATTTTGGCTCCAACTTCTGGCTATTGTGGGCACTTAGGGAGTGAACCAGTGGATGGAAGTTCTCTCTCTCTCCTCTCTTGCCACTCTTCCTCTCAAATAAAAAAAAAAGTTTTTAAAAAGTCTCAAACATCATATATGCTTGCCAGTAAAGAAAAACTGGGGAAGTGAAAATATGACAGAATTATTTTTTAAAAATTCCCATGTATTAACAAAATTCCCCTAAGGAAATTTAGGGACTTTAAAATTCCTAACTCTAGCTTCTCTTGTGAACATAAGTTCTTATTCATACAGAAAGAGAAAGATACTAGTTGCCAGCAGATGGTGGGACTAAAGTTATTTTAATAAGTACACATTCTTCAAAAGACAGATGATTCCACTAGTTTTTGGAGCTATATTCCCCCCCCCCTTTTTTTCCTAGCAATGAAGATGAAGGTGTAGAACTGGGCTGTCCACTTGTTCAGAGCCTGGATGAAGCCAAAGACTTGTCCAAGGGCTGGCTTGGGCAAAGAGGCCCAGCCCGTGAGATTCCTTATTAGCGGGGCAGACACTGTGACTTTGACCTCCAAGGTCCTTGTTCCCATCAGGTAGGCTGCAGCAGCAGCGGTAGCCCTCTGGACACTGTAGGATCAATAACTACGATGTATTTACCTTCTGTCCACATAGAAGGTGAAGGCCAATTCCAGGACCAGCTAAGTCTCTGTCACAATAGGACTGAGCTTGGAGTATCAGTGGCATTGTGCACGCACTCAAGATGCATCTTAGAAGCTGCTGTCTTCTTCAGCTAACCATTCTGTGTCTTCCTCTTATTCCACTGAGTCCACTGGCTCCCTTAATACTGCTAGCCTTCCAGAAGGTGTTTCCCTGCAGGACTGGGGAACCTTTCTCCTGCCCAGGGCCATTTGGATATTTATAACCTCATTCACAGGCCATATAAAATCACCAACTTAAAAATCAGCCCGCTATTATAGATTTGTTGCATTTTGAGTCTCGCTTGCTGTTGCCTTGGCAGAGCCAGACCACGTGATTTCATTTCTCATGCGCCTTACAGGTGGGGGCTGGAAATTCCCCACCCCTGAAGGGTAGGTGTCTGGGCCAGTGTTTCTCAAATATTTATCATTGTTGATCTCAAGACCCCTTTATTCTCTTAAATATCTTTGTGGATTCCAAGGAGCTACTGTCATGTGGGTTTTACCTGTTGAATTTGCCGTTTTAGACATTTTAAACAAAATATTTATTTTTTATTTATTTGAAAGACAGAGTTACAGAGAGGGGTAGAGAAAGAGGTCTTCCATCAGCAGGTTCACTCCCCAAATGGCCACAATGGCCGGAGCTGGACCTATCCAAAGCCAGGAGCCAGCAGCTTCTTCCAGGTCTCCCACGTGGGTGCAGGGGCCCAAGGACCTGGGCCATCTTCCACTGCTTTCCCAGGCGCATCAGCGGGGAGCTGGATTAGAAGTGGAGCAGCCAGGACTCAAACCTGCGCCCATATGGGATGCAGGTGCTGCAGGCCCCAGCTTTAACCCCCTACCAACAGCGCCCACACCCCTTTTAGAAATTAAAACTAAGGTGGCAGGAGAGTGAGGAAGCCCCTCCGGGATGCAGCTCCCAGGCCGGGCCTCCCTAGCTTCTCTCTTCCACATTACCTGCACCAGTAAACTCCCCTTTCCAGGAGGGGTTTCTACCACGAGCGAATTAAAGAGGACTCAGTAGTGGATTCATAAAACGGAGGAATGAGTCAGACGATGTGCAATAAAGAGTTGAGTCGCATATAACAGTATTCCCTCGTCATTTGTCACCAATGAGTGATGGGGGATGAACGGAACAAAGTGCTTTCACTTTTTTTCAGGATCTCATTTAATGTTCTCTGCACACCTCCAAAGTAGCATGTTTTCAATACACCTTGCCGCCGTGCAGCCCGCGTGCCTTGTCACAGCAGCTAGGAGACGGAGCCCAGACGGAAACAAAGTCTTATCCTCTAAATTCTCAGGACACGAGGCCCGAAATTTTGCAGGGCGCAGATGTGTGGCACGAGCCTTCTCGGATTTGCAGGGCGCAGGGAGCGGCCTGCGTGGCCCATGCTCTCCGGGAGGCGTAGACTTTGGCTCTGGCCTGAGACGTGGAGAAAGGGGCCCGAGGAAGGTTCCGGTGAGCACGGGGGTCTCTCCCGCCCAGCTCAGGGGCAGAGGGGCTGCGGAGGGGGCGCAAGGGCATTGCTGCGGATGCTAGCCGGGGGAGCAGACGAATAACACACCCGGCCCAGAATCGCAGGCTGCGTCCCGGCAGCCCCGAGGAAAACGAGCATCTCCACTCAGGGTCCCGGCGGAAGAGATGTGGGAACTGCGAGACAGATTCCGCACACAAAGAAACAACGGAGTTCCATTCCGGCGGCGCGACGAGAGCAGAGTTCGAAACGGAGCCTCCCTTCCCAGCTCCGGCGGCACCGCCTACTCCACCCGGTCACCCCACCCAGACATCTTTTATCTGCTGGGGTCGCTTGGACTGTCCGCGCTGGGCACGCCCGAGCGCCCCGCCAGAGAGACTACAAATCCCATGAAGCCCCTGGGGCGCGGGCGGTGATGACGAAGCGTTCGCGGATTGGCTACGCGGGGCGGGGAGCGCAGGCCTTCTCCGAGGGGCGGGGCGGGGCACGGGGCGGGGCGAGTGGCGGCGCGGCGGGCACGCCCCCTCTCCCGCGGCCCCCTCCTCGCTTCTCCCCGCCGCCTCCTCGAGCTCCCCGGTCAGAGGGCCGGAGCGAGAAGATGGCGAAGACGTACGATTATCTGTTCAAGCTGCTGCTCATCGGCGACTCGGGGGTGGGCAAGACCTGCCTCCTGTTCCGCTTCTCCGAGGACGCCTTCAACACCACCTTCATCTCCACCATCGGTGAGGGAGGGGCTGCGGCCCGGGACGGGGGTGAGACCTGGAGGGTGGGTACGAAGGGGCCGGAGGGACGACCGAGGGGCTTGGGAGCCCCCGGAGCGGAGACCGCGGGGCGGCGGGAGCCGTGCGAGAGGGCGACAGCGTGAGGGAGAGGGGCGCGCGGGGGACGTGCGCCCTGGGCGTGAAGGGGGAACTTGGGGGCCAGGGCAGGGGAAGGCGAACCCGAGGAGCCAGGACTGGGAGGACTGGGGCGACGGGGGCGCGCGGGGGCTGACAGGGAGGGTCCCAGCGGGACAGAGTGAGGAGGGGACACGGGGATCCCGCGGAGAGCGAGAAGGGGCTCGTGGATGTGCGAATGGATTAGAGGGCAGGAAAGAGAAAGGAAATGTGAAGGGGAAATGGAAGGGTTGGGGGAACGAGAGGGGCGGGCAGAGGACACAAGGGACGGAGGTGAGGACCCGGCGGGGAGAAGGGGGCTGAGGGGAATGAATGATCCGGAGGGGAGGGCGCGCGGGGGGGGGGTGGCTGCAGAGGTGCGGGCAGAGATTGGGGGGCGGGGGGAGGCCGAGGAGAACTGCAGGCAGGAGAAGAGTTGCGGGGAGGAAGGGGGGATGAGGCTACCTGGTTGGAAAAGTAAAGGCGGGCGGGGTGCGGGTGGAAAGGGAACGCAGCAGCGGGCAGGCGAGGCGGACAAGGTGGGCAGTGAGAGGGGTGCGGGACTTCCCCGTCTTACTGGGCGCTCCGGCTTACCGTTGTCTCTGCTGCTTTGGGTCCAGTGCAGGAGAAAGCAGAAAGTGACTACTGATGAAATGCTATCTGTGGAGCATTGAGTTGTTCCCAGTGTGCACGGGCGTCAAGGGGATTGCTGACTTCGGGGAGTGATGTGGTCAGGAAAATAGGGCTCGCCCCTTCTTGTCTCCTGAGAAGCAACGCGGCTGGATTTTTTTTTTTTTTAATTGGGAACTTGAATGCTTAACAACTTCTGAACCAAGGAATTGATCTTGCTTTCTGTTGCCACTCTGTATATTTTGTTTCGGTTCTAATGATGACTTGTTAAATCAATCACAACCTGCAATATACCGGTACCCCAATTACTTCCAACTGATGCAACGCTAATTTTTTCCTCCCTTTTTACTGGAAGAAATGGGTTCGGGTAAAAAGATCTCTAACTTATCAGAAACTGAAAAGCGGAGCGAAGTTGGTTTTACCCGGCTGTACAAGCGTCCTTAACCTCACTTCAGTAGTTAAATGGCTACAGTAGATTAAGTACTTTAAGAATCGGTTTTGGGCCGTCTGGGAGATGTTTCTGGCCTCTAGAAGTAGCTAATTTAGACATCTCTTAAATGGTTCTTAAAATATTTCTCTGCATGAGTTTCTGGATTGGGAAATAATGGAAAGCTTGTACTTTGGTAATAAGTATGTTTATGTACTTGTGTTTGTGAGGATAATTGCCTTAAAAAAAAAAAAGTACCTGAGTATGGAGCCCTCTTCAGTTCAAGACCGAGAGAGCCTACGGTTTGCTGCTTGACTCCGGCCTGTTTCGTACTGATTGAACAGCCTGAAACCTCCTTGGTGTTGTGATGTCTGGGCGTGGGGAAGTTTGAGTTTGCAAGTTCTTGGCAGTCAGTCTTGAGTGGGACTTTTTCTTTTCTGAGGAAGCAGATTCTAAATGTCATCTCTCAAGTGTTTTCCTAAGAGATCTGGTGGGAGCTGATACAGCAACTGACGGCGTTAACGTTGGACACGGGCACTCCTTCCAAAACCCCCACGAAACTCCATCCCACTGATGAGCGCACTCTGCAGTGCAGCCCGTGAGCTTTATCACGCGAGTGGGTGGCCTTCCGCGCTTCCTGTGTGTGACCCTCCCAGAGGCGTCCTCCCGCCTGGAGAGTGAGCAGATCTCTCGGATGCTGTCCCTGCCGAGCTCCTGGGATAAGTTTTGGTTGCTTGGAGTAGTTTGGTCAGTTTTCTCTTTTTTTCCCCTTCATTTTTGTCCCACATTTCCTGTAAGGGTATCTTCTTCATTTCAAAAGAGTAGCTTTAAGAAATTACTTTTCATGAGCAGATTTTTTTTTTTTTTTTTTTGTGATGGAAACAAGGTTCTTTGGAAGATTGAGGCTGTTCAAGCCTGAAACCCAGTGTCCTCTGACAGTTTAGAAGAGGAGGTAGGCGTTCATTGGGGTGCATCTCCTGGGAGCTGTGGGTCTCTGTATTTTCTGCGTGGTGGAGATGGTAAGAAGAGGCCATGGGCCACGTCTTCGTTTGATGTGGAGGAGGGGAAAAGCCCATGCCTCTTATTTAGTCCCAGAGCCCCAACAGGAAGTGGTGGCACGCTGCTGTCTTCAAATAGCAGAATTTATGCTCCTAAACCGTAACGCTTTGTAGTTGAACTGAAGTTGGTCAGGTGAGTGGTGAGACCATTTCAGCAAAGTGTCCGCTTGACTGCAAACACAGACATGGACATAGTCCCATCTCTAGCAGCCATATCCATTTGCCCAAGTCTCACCCCATCCGCAGGTGACTACACTGCAGAGGACACAGTGGGCGGGCCACTCCCTCCCCAGCTCCTGTGCTGTTCTCAGCAGGCTGGACAAGGCCCACCCTAGTGCGGCTGACCACACTTAATGAGCTCGTCCACGTCACAGGAAGCATCCCCCTGGGTCATAGCAAAGGTCTGGTTCTTCACACCTAGGCTTGGAGTGTGCGTTGTGCTAGATAGAGGTGCGTGTCTGTGTCTTGCCATGAAGATACGTTTTAAGCTTAATTGTGCTTTGCAATGTTTAAATCGTTTTTAACATGGGAATCTGCCATCTTTAGACAACTGTTTTGATAGGCGTTCTGTCAGCATGAAAGGAAAGAGACAATTAGTCATTTGACTCCAAATACACTTGTCTCACACTTTCTTCTCATTTCTCTGAGATCTTGCTCTCTTCTCTGAAATAGCTCCCTCATTTCCTTCCTGCTCACAAGGGTGGTGGAAGGTAGATTTTCTTTCATCCGACTTCTTGGGGATCTTCCAGGATATTAGATAGATAATCCTTGTTAGCTATGGGGAATGGATGTTTTACCCATTTGAAATTACAGACTCTGCCTGGCACCAACTAGCCTTTCAATTAATATGTTTGAAAATTGAAAACTTTTTGATTGACTCAAAAAAGCCATTATAAAATAATATAGTAAGTCAACTAGGAAAAGCTTTGCAGTTAGCTATATATTATATTTCTGATGGGATGTGAGTGCGTTTCAGTACTGATACAATTTGAAATGGCCCTAAACCAAACAAAGTGCTGGTGGAGCAAAAAGAGATAGCATAGTAGCATAGCCGCGTCTTCTTCTAACAGGTTAATCTAAGCTGCTTCTCTGCTCTCTCCCCTGCCCCCTTCTTCCTGTTAGATATTTCCTGAGTGGTTTCATTATTTAGTAGAGTCATAGTTTGACAGCAGAAAGAGTTTTAGAAATTATCTACTTTATGCTCCTCCTCAGTATTACAGATAAGAACAATGAAAGTAGAGTTGACCCTCAAAAATCACCTCCTGGGTTAGTTACCCTGGTCAGTTGTGTACATGTATTGAAATGTCACACTGTACCCCATACATATGTACAGTTACTGTGTGTCAATTAAAATTAATTAATTTTAAAAAGTCACACCACTAGTTATAGCAGAGCCTGCAGCAGATCCCCAAGGCCAAGTGTGTGTCACTCCCACAATTACACTACTGCTATTTCTGATCAGTCTGGTCGTCTCTGTAAATCCAAATCTTCGGTTTTCCCAGGGAAGAATTAGATTTTGCCCGTATATCTATATGTAGGGAAAGTCAAGATGGTCCCACTTTGATTAGCCACATCTGTTTAGGGAAATATGAGAGTACTTCAGAAAGTTCACAGAAAATGGAATTAAAAAATAAATTTATTTTGGTGCAAAAAAGATTTTGAAATTGGTGCTTTTTTTCATAATGTGCATTTTCCATGAACTTTGTAATGCTCTCACATATTAAATGTTACTGCAATGACTCAGAGTCCCATAGGATTTGATGTTGGGATAACTCAGCACATTGTTGTCCTTTGCCCTTTGTTTCTGTGTCTGTAGTTTCAGGTTAGGAGATCAAAGTGTATCCTGCCATTAAAATTCCTTCCACCTGCAAAACCACTAATGAAATCATTGATAGCTGTATGCTGGCAATTGTCATAGCTTAGTCTCATTAGAGTTCTTTTAGACATTTTATTCTGAAATACTGTGTTTTTTTTTCTTGGGTTCACATCTCCCCCCCCCCCTTTTTTTTAAAGATATATTTATTTATTTATTTGAGAGAATTACAGACAGAGAGGACAGAGAGAAAGGTCTTCCATCCACTGGTTCAATCCCCAAATGACCACAAAGGCCAGAGGCTGAGCTGATCTGAAGCTAGGAGACAGGAGCTTCTTCTGGGTTTCCCATGTGGGTGCAGGGGCCGAAGCACTTGGGTCATCTCCACTGCTTTCCCAGGCTGTAGTGGAGAGCTGGATCTGAAGACAAGCAGCCAGGACACGAACCTGCGGCCAGATGGGATGCCAGTGCCACAGGCGGAGGCTTAACCTACTATGCCACAGTGCTGGACCCCAGGTTCGCATTCCTTAAAATCAGGGTTTGTATACTACACTCATCGACCAAATGTGGCTTGCAGGCTGTTTTTGTGTTTTTTTT